GTGTGTGTGTGCGTGCGTGTGTGTGTGTGTGTGTGTGAGAGTGTGTGAGAGTGTGTGTGTGCATGTGTGTATGTGTGTGTGTGGGTGCACATATGTGGCGAGGGCTGAATAAAAGTGGAGCGTGAGGTTTGTTTGGTTCTTAATCTGCCTCTTAAAGACATCTGTCAGTGCTGATCACTATTGTTTGTCATGCTCGAGACACGCTCGGCACAAATTCAATCCTGCCATTTCTATCATGTCACATTTGGCAGATCAACAGTGACACAAATTGTATCATTGCATCCCGCGCGGGGATTGTGTTTGTAGGTGCGACTCCTGGCAATAAGAGACCTTTGCAGAAACGTCTTGCTTTAGCGCTTGGCCTGTGTTCATCAGCGACACAAGGGACGAGCTGAAGTCATTTGTCTAACCGTCGAGGAAAGGAGAATGTTTTCCGTCTTTCTGCTCCAAGCGATGTGTTTAATCTAACTGGAGAATTCACCGCGGTGCCGTACGGATCTGTGTGTTTAGCATGAGGGATTTTCTGCGGCTGTTTTTACGCATCCTTCTGTTAAATCGGTCCTATTCCGATTCATCTGCACCCCTCACCCTGCTGATCTCTTGTCATGTTGGTGTTTGCGTCACACAAGCAGCAGAAGCAGCAGCACTTGACCACTGTAACTACACACAGTCTTCAACTTCAGTCTTTCACTCATAAAACTGAACACACACACTTGCCTTTGCTGCAGACATATTGTGAAAGATGCATGTGCAAGGCTGGATTCACAACCACTTACCCGCATCGCTAGTGCCATGACTTCAACACTGGGGGGTAGAACCATTTTTTTCTCTATAATTAAAAGATTTAAAGGGAATAAATATGGGGTTACACTTTATTTTGATTGTCCCATTTAGACATTCTGTTGACTCTCAACTATATGTCAACTAACTCTCATTAGAGTATTAGTAAATTATTAGGTTAGGGTTAGTTAGTGGAATAAGCTGACATATAAGTTGCATATAGTCAGTTGAATGTCTGTTGAGGACCACTAAAATAAAGGGTTATCAGATATGAAGCAGACAGTCACTAATGCTTTAATAACTACTAGTCTAAAGTGGACTATTGAAATAAAATTTTAGCAAAAAAAAAAGTCATGAAAAAAAAGTCATGATCTATTTGCATTTTATTTTTAAAATACACACACATTTACTCTTAATCATATGCCTAATATGATCGCTGTACATTGTGTCTGGTCTTGTCACATTCATGAATGAAACCTGAAAATCAATGTCTGCGGTTTTTATTCAAAACAGCATAATTTCAGTTGTCTGCCTAACATTTCTATTGTTAAAGTTATGAGCAAATATTAAATGCTTAGCTACTCATATTGTACCTCACACTCTTTGACTGTTAAAACTGAAGTGTGATGGAATCCCCCGCCTAAAATAAAGCCCCGCCTTCTTTGATTTGATCTCAGTTTTTGTGACATGGATGAGGCAGACAAGTCTAAAATATAATATTTCAACTTTTGATCATAACAACAAACAGAGTGGTGCATAATGAAGCACAGCAGAAGCAAACTAATAATTGGCAGAGAGCTATTCGTTGTTGCTACTTGTCGACTAGTTGCTGTTGTTTAGCTGTGAGTCTGATTCTGTGTTGTTTCCCATGATCCTGACGGAGCGTGTTCTCTTGTGTTCTCTTGCAGCACCCGTATCCTTCAGAAGAACAGAAGAAGCAGCTCGCTCAAGACACAGGCCTCACCATCTTACAAGTAAACAACTGGTGAGTCGAGTCACTTTTCATCTCTATTGCCAGCAGCGTTGACCGTCGGAAAGCGTTTGCGCGCTGACTCTACTCGCGCATTATCGCCGCGGCTCTTTGCTGTTCGACACATTTGTGTCCCTTTGATGCATTAAGAGGAAGAGGACAGTGGTGCACCTCCTCCCCGATCTGCTCCGTGCCGGATTAGAGCCACGGCGCTCTGGCCGGCAGCGTCTTTGTAGATGGCTTAGCTCATAACTGGAGGTGGTGGATTAAATATAATGATCACAGAGCCAAAGAAATGATACAGTCATTATTTATCAAAATACTCGGCCGGGCTCTTTTTTTATCGCAGGCTTAATTTCCTTCGCTACATTCTGCGGCCGATGTTCAGATTAATTGAGCTGACAGCTTCTTTTCAAAACACCGGGAAGGTATTTGCACGGATTTTCTGGCCTTGCACAAACTTAATTATACGGAGCGCTATTTTATCAGTCTAATTCCGTGTAGTGGAGCTTCTATTTACAAATGAGAAGTCCCTGCCTTTTATTCACAGCTTCCCTTAATGTATTTATCAGAGCGGACTCATTTACGCAGCGCTCTATCTGTTGGGTACAGGCGGTGGCTCTCGGCTTTATCGGCCCGCAGGCCCGCGCACCTCCCTGGGGTCAATTGATTTTTTTGCTTTTGTGATTAATTTTTACCCTACACCTCATTCTGGTGCCGGCTCACAATGAGCAACACGCCTGGAGAATGAGCTTGATTTGTCTGCCGGATCAGGCCAGGTACTTAAATTGGCCACAGGAATGCCGTTATCTGCCTTTCACGCGCCCGGCTGCTGGATGGTGTTTCAATTACAGCGGTAACCAAGCTTTCATGCCGTCACACACCTACGGCAGCAGAAAATTGAGTTGCTTTGCCTGTTTCATGCTGATTAATGCTGAAATAACCACAAAACCCCAAAGAACCACCGAGAGAGAACGAGTGAGTCGAGTCGAGATGAGCACTCTCAGTTTTAGACTCCAGATACTGAAAGACTTGAAGAGAGACGGGCAGGACGAGGCTTGCATGGACGTCCTGAATCAGGTCTTTGTTCGGAGGCACAATCAGAGCTGGAGGAGGCACAAGGGTGCTCTGTGTAACGTGTCAATAGACGGCGCGTCTCCTGCTCTGACCAGCCCGTCTACCTGTCCATCTCTCTCTGTGCCGTGGATCTGATCTCTGCTCTGCGAGTGTGTGACGGTCACTGGTGTTGGTGGTGGTCTGAGACTGCACAGCAATCCTGTTTGACCTGTTTGTGTGTGTGTGTGTGTGTGTTCTGTCTGTCTAAATGAGGCCTGATCTCATACTGACAGCAACACGCCTCTGCTAAACACACACACACACACACAAACACACACACACACACACACACACACACGCACACGCACACACACACA